ATTTATATATTTATATATTGGCTGCAATAAAGAATTGATAAAATTGATAAAAATCGATTAATAAAAGTGTTGGCATCGAATTTCATTATTGATTCAATGTGTCACATGATTATGTGTCTCTCACGGTGTTGCGGAGCTGTTTTGTTCACCTGCAGTGCTTTGTTGATGCTGACTGACTGAATAAAGTAAAACAAACTGCAGAGCGAGTTGAACGGAGCGAGGAGGAAGCAGAGCAGAGGCTGTTTTCAAAGGAAATTAAGTAAATTTTACAAATGACTGACGCAGAGAAAACAGTTTGACCCAAGTCTTCAACAGTGTGGGAGCTCTTTACGCTTCACAAAGATTAAAACTGTGCAACATGCAGCTTTGAAAAGTGATGACATGACACGGAGCACCACGGAGATGAAACGTAAACATGTTGGAGTTGTAAAACGTAACTTCAGCGCGGTGTGGATGAAGGATCAGCAGCAGGTGAGTCTCTACAATATCCTGCATTGGTTCTGTTTCCAAGTGAGAGAACGTAACGTCAGACTCTCTGAAGCTGCTGCTTGTTATCTGATTCATGACAGTGATAGAGAACGTGTGTATTACTTTTATTTAATTTAATTGGTATAAGCAGTGTTTAAATGTGATTTATAAATAAATATAACACAAAGATGGTAATAATTTAATAATTAAACTTCACATTATAATTTGCCAGCAGAGGCTGAGTGAAGACATTGCATTATGGCTTTGTATTTAAACAGGAATTAAAGTAATTTATTACATCTACTCAAATGTGTGTAATTAAGTATTATATATATTAGAGCAGTCGTCCTCCAATGTGAGAGTTGGGGGTTCGAATCCACCAGCAGTCACATGCTGAAGTGTCCTTGGGCAAGACACTGAACCCCTCATTGCCTCTGATGTGTGTCCCATCAGTGTATGAATGTGATCTAAAGTACTGATTAGTCTCTTTAGAATGATTTGGTCAATTATCTTTATAGAGATCTAGTATAGAGCTGTATGAATGGGTCAATGAGGCACAGATTGTTGTAAAGCACTTTGAGTGTGTTGAAATAAGATAGAAAGGTGCTGTATAAATGCAGTCCATTTACCATTTACCACATCTATCTATCTAGCTATCTATCTATCTCTCTCTCTCTCTCTCTATATATATATATATATATATATATGTGTGTGTGTGTGTGTGTGTGTGTGTTAATTCCTCTTTGAGCTACTTAATGACTATAAGTGAAACAAGGCATTTCTTGAGTTGCTGTAAATTATGTTATAATACATATTTACTCTCTCATTCCAGAAAACAACAACAAACAACATCCTTCATGATGGACAGACATCATGGACACCACAGCAGCAGCTGTCTTCACTGAAAACATGCTTAACATGATCGTCACTGACATGAGGCCTCTGTCCATGGTTGAAGACGAAGGCTTCACTACAATAATCCACACTTTTAATCCAGGTTACAATAATCCACACTTTTAATCCAGGTTACACTCTTCCCTCAAGGACACCACTTGCTCTTGTTGATGGCGGATGCTTCCCTCCTCTCCCTCCTTCGCTTTGCTGCTCTTTCCTGTCTGTGAAACTACTTCTGATCCTCTGTCTACATATCTTCCTTTATTCTTCTTCTTTCGGCTGCTCCTTCTTCAGGGGCCGCCACAGCGAACTAAGTCGCACAAAGACTTGGCAGTTATTTTTTTTTACGCTGGATGTCCTTCCTGACGCAACCACAGACCACCGAGCTGCCACAGCCCTCTGTGTGGAGCAGAGAGCTGCTATCTAGGACACCCGGAGGAGCAGATGGTCGAGGTTAAGGGCCTTTCTCAATGGCCCAGAGTGGGACGAATGAGGGTGGGGGCAGGTGTGGCTGCTTCACCTACCCCACCCACATTTTTCATGTTGTGTGTACCGGGGCTTGAACCGGCGATCTTCCGATCACAGGCCCACCTTCTCTAACCTCTGCGCCACCACTCCCATTGTCTACGTATCTTCTGAACCATGATTTTGTGGATCTGGTCAGTTGGTCTCTCAATGCAATGGACAACATTTTTAAGACAAGCTTCAGGCGAGATGAACTGCCTGGACGACACGTATGCAGCTGCACATGTCTCTGGAGGAAGTGGAACGTGATGTGTCTACCTCTGCTGTCGATCGAGGACGCCGAAATTGCATATAATTGGATTTATGATAACAGGTTTCCTGTTTTTGGAATTGTCTGGTTCCTGGTTTATCAACATACAAAGAAGACGGCTGCAGCTAATCTGGCCTGGTCAGGCTGCCGCCTATGTGAAGGTTTGCTCCGTGTCTCGTGCACCTAGACTCTATTTCTTAGCGACTGGACCCACTGACAAGATGGATCAAATCTCGGGGAATATTCTCAGGCACAGATCAGTAGTATATCCACTTAATTTGGACCTTTCAGAATCTACGTGAGACCAACAAAGACTCAAGGCAGATAAAATTCAGTAAAGTTCTGCCTGTCTCCAAACTATTAGGCTGTTTATCTGAATTTGGCTTCCTCAGCTGGCCCTGCAGGCCACCTTATCTCTATTCACCTGGAGGCTGTGTAATCTGACGCTCTGCTGCCCCCCGCCCTCGAGGAAGCCCATTGATCAACATGAGGAAACCAGCTGAATAAACATTCTGTCATCATTTCGACTCTTGGATTCTCACTGGGTTGTCCTTGGCCATTCCCCGACATCCCTTGACAGTGTTTACGGATCTCACTGGAGGGAGCTGCTGATTATTCCATCCTTATCAGAACTCTTACAGTGCCTCGGGAGCGTCCTTGAATACTCTCACCGCTCTCGTCATCTCCCTCCTCTGTGGAATGTTCTACATCACCATGTGCTTGTCTGCGCGGTGTGTTTTTTCATTATCAGGGTTTTTCTTCTCAGCCAAGAAGAAAATATTCAATATTCAATATTTTACTAACAGAATAGTCAAGTAGTAACCTGTTTTTTGTGCAATTTACTATGTCAGTAAAATGTTTAATTTGGGAATAAAGATATGGAATTTTTTTCCCAATTCATCTATATATTTTTCTTTGTTTTTTCTTTTTTTTCTTAGTTCATATCTTAGATGTTATTATTGTTTTTCTTTTACATTTTATTGTTGGATGTAACTGGGACCCCGTGTACATAATTTCGCTCCACCACATGTACCACATGAGGTGCGAATGACAATAAAGAAACTCTGACTCTGATA